CCGCCAGTGCCAGCCAGCCGTCCCCCGCCCAGTCCCCCAGCACCCAGGGGCCAGCCAGGGGCCATAGACGGCGCCCGCCCTCATGGATTAGTGTGGAGTTCATGGACCTCATTGAGGTTTGGGGGGAAGCCACCAACTTCCATGATCTCCACACTAGGCGGAGGAATGCAACCGTCTATGGCCACATAGCGGCCACCTTGGCCAGGAAAGGCCTCAGGCGCACCCAAGAGCAGGTGAGCCTGAAGGTGAAAGAGCTGCAGCAGGAGTACGCCAGGACCACGAGGAGTGGTGGCGCAGCAGGGGCTGACACCTGCCCCTACTTCCCTGCCCTTGACCGACTCCTGGGGGGTGGGGCGGTCCGTACCAGCCTGGGAGGCAGTGAGCCGGGACCGGAGGGCCCTGACCTGGGCACACCAGAGAGTCAGCAGGGTCATCCAGGGAGGCCATACCAGGTAAGTGCCAGCACTGTCCCCTCCCTGGGGGAGGGGAGGCGGAGAGGGAGACCAAGGACCGCGCATGTGGGCCATGCCTCCCACGGATCATGCAGCCACCAGTGCATGTGCGAGCACGTGCCATGCCACTCTTGGGCAGGTGACTCCAGCCGTGGCCCAATAGGCACATGAGTGTGTGAAGAGACCTGGCACACTCCCGACCCCGGGGCGGGACCCAGTAGGACACCCTCCCTTAACACACCCCCTCTACACAGAGGCAGGGGACATCTCCCCATGCCTCCCACGGATCATGCAGCCACCAGTGCATGTGCGAGCACGTGCCATGCCACTCTTGGGCAGGTGACTCCAGCCGTGGCCCAATAGGCACATGAGTGTGTGAAGAGACCTGGCACACTCCCGACCCCGGGGCGGGACCCAGTAGGACACCCTCCCTTAACACACCCCCTCTACACAGAGGCAGGGGACATCTCCCCCTTACCCTGGCCACACTATACATGGCACAGGGGCATGGGGCAGTCTCCCCCTCCCCGCCCTGGCCACACTATACATGGCACAGGGCCATGGGTGCGGTCTTGGAGCAACTCCCAGACCCGGAGAGAGCCAGACATCCTGACCCTGGCCTCTGTGCAAGCACATCAGCTCTGACGGCACAGGGCACGGTCGCCCTCACATTGCGTTGGGGGCTGGGCATCATCCACTGTGTCCCCAGGGAGAACTGACCACTTATCTTCTTTCTCCACAGCTGCACAAGCTGCCCGTGCAGGGCGCACCATCCCACCCTGGACTCCCGCACCCGCAACCTGCTCTGGACCATCAGCACACAACAGGAGTACCAGGACCAGTACCTGGGGACCCTGCATGCCCTGCACCACACCATCCAGGCCTGGACGCTGGAGGACCTGCAGCTCCACCGGGAACAGCTTGCTGAGGACCGAGCCATGAACGCAAACCTGCAGGCCCTGCTGCAGAGCATGCTGCCCTGTGCCGGTCCTGCGCCTGCTGCCCCCCCAGCTACTGTTCCTCCTCCTACTCCTGCCCCCCCTCCCACCTCTTCCTCCTCAACCTCCGCTCCCTCCTACCTGTTCCCCTGGGGATGCCGAGTCCCCCTCCCCTACCGTGCTGGGAGGCAGTTGGCCCGGTGAGACCCCCAACTTAATTCTGATTATGAATCCTGCTGGTCTTGGATCGTGTTTGCGGGAAAGAAAATGGAATTCCAAGAGAAAGACACCACCTGGAAGAAAAAGTCACCTCACAGGGTCCCAGCTCTGCTCCTACAGTGCTTTTAAGCATCCCAAAGGTAGAACATCAAGGACACTCCTCTATCCCCATGTACTTCTCCTCCTTGATCTTCTGAGCAGCGCATATCTGACATACATCACCAGCTAAAGGCAAGGGGCACATGACAAGGGTTATCCCTGCTGGGATAACAGGGGATTTCAAAGAAGAGAGATTGCACTGTGTAAGATATTTTGCAGTCCTAGATTCAAGGAGAAGCTGTGAGAGAGCATGTCCCTTTAAAGGGAGGAAAAATATGAAATGTGAATGGAGGAGGAGGGGAAGCCATCCACTGGCCGACAGTGTATTTCATACAGAAAGATCTGTAAATATCAAGTTTTATGAAGTCGGAACGTGGGCTTTGTTGAGAACTGTAAGGTTAAATAACCATAGGAAAGAAATCAGGAGAGAGAAGAATGATACTACGATTGCAACAAGTCAGTAGGCATAGCTGATGTGTGTTTTAAATTAATATCCTGAAATATTAACAGGTTAAACAAACCTATGCAAAGACATCAGGAATGACTGGGATGAGGGGTCTGGTCCCTTTAAGCACGGATCTCGGATAGCCTGAGGCAGCAGCCCCACACAATAAGTCTGACCCTGATGTCCTTTTGGCACTGGTTCCAACCGGCCTTATCTTTGAGTCAGAGTCCACTCAATGTGGACGAGCTATTTCAAATTATAAAAACGCTATTTCTATTTAGTTTTTGTGTCTAGATGCGTTATTTCGATTTAGCTTATTTCGAATCGAAATAAGTTAATTCGCAATAGCGCTGTAGTGTAGACATACTCTAATAGAAGAGCCAGTGTTAGGTAAACGATAAATCAGTAAATCAATGAAAGCTCTACTTCTGAAATATTTTCCACTAGAAATCTCGGAAATATTGTAAATCATATATTGCTGCCTCTTTGGTTCTTGTCTCAGTTTCTGCCCAAAAAACAAACATAAATTTAGCTAGTTTTCAAGTCTCAGAGGGGTAGTCATATTAGTCTGTAACATTAAAAGCCATGAGTAGTCCTTTGGCATCTTAGAGATTAACAAAAATATATACAGTATCATGAGCATTTGTAGGTAAAACCCACTTCATCAGATAAGATGGAGTGGAAATAACAGAAACCAAGATATTTATAATGGTGGGGGCGGAGTGGAAGTATCAGTCAATTGTAGGACCAGTGCTACTGAGGCTAATTAAGTGGGCTGGAAGTGTCCCATTCTTAGCTTTTGATGTAAAAGTGCAATTGTTAAAGCCAGGGAAGACTGGCTTTATAATGCGACATCCAGCTAATGTCTTTGTTCAAGCCAGGAGTAACAGTGTCATATTTGTAGATGAATGCCAGTTCCACACTCTCTGTAATTGGCTGGTGAAATTCCTTTGTAGAAGAATAGATACTTTTAAATCCATTGTTGAGAGAGGTATGATGTGTGGCTACTGGGAAGTATTTGCCTCACATTGGGGGGTTGTCTGTAGGCAAGGATTGGCCGGTCTCCCAAGACCTGTGAAAGCGAGGGATTGTTTTCCAGGATAGGTTATAGATTGTCAGTGATGTGCTAGAGGGGTTTAAGCTGGGGGCTCTAAGGGAATAGTCAATCAACATGGTTTTTGTAAGAGAAATCATGCCTCAACAGTCTTCTAGAATTCTTTGAGGTCAACAAAAATGTGGAAAAGTGACTCCAATAGATCTAGTGTACTTAGATTTCCAAAAAGTCTTTGCCAAGATCCCACACCAATGTCTCTTAAGCAAAGTAAGCTGCCATGGGATAAGAGGGAAGATCCTCTCATGGACTGATAACTTGATAAATATAGGAAATACAAGTTAGGAATAAATGGTCAGTTTTCTCCAAGAGTACATACTAGGACTAATTCTGTTCAACATATTCATAAATGATCTGGAAAAAAGGGTAAACAGTGAGGTGGCAAAATTTGCAGATAATACAAAACCATTCAAGATCGTCAAATCCAAAGCAGAGTGAAGATCTTCAAAAGGATTTCACAATAATAGGTGAGTGGCAGATGAAATTCAGTGTCGATGAGGGAAAGTAATGCATATTGGAAAACATAATCCCAACTATACATGCAAAACGATACAGGGTACGTTAGCTGTTGCCACTGTGGAAAGAGATCTTGGAGTCATTGTGGATAGTTCTCTGAAAACATCCACTCAATGGCAGTCAGAAAAGCAAACAATATTTTGGGAATCATTATGAAAGGGATGGAGAATAAAACAGAGAATATCATATTGCCTCTATATAAGCCGTGGTTCACCCATATCTTGAATATTGTGAGCAGATGTGGACACCTCATCTCAAAAAAAGCACTGGAAAAAGTTCTGAAAAGGGCAACAAAAATAATTAGGAGTATGGAATGGCTGCCATTTGAGAAGAGATTAATAAGACTTGGGCTACGTCTACACTGGCCCCGAATTCCGAAAAAGTCATGCAAAGCAGGTAAGTCAGAATAGGGAAATCCGCCGGGGATTTAAATATCCCCCGCGGATTTAAATAAACATGTCCGCCGCTTTTTTTCCGGCTTGGGGAAAAGCTGGAAAAAAGCGTCTGGACAGGCGCGATCCTCCGGAATAAAGCCCTTTTCCGGAGGATCTCTTATATCTTATTATCTTATATAAGAGATCCCTTTTATCTTATATGAGAGATCCTCCGGAAAAGGGCTTTATTCCGGAGGATCGCGCCAGTCCAGACGCTTTTTTCCGGCTTTTCCCCAAGCCGGAAAAAAAGCGGCGGACATGTTTATTTAAATCCGCGGGGGATATTTAAATCCCCGGCGGATTTCCCTATTCTGACTTACCTGCTTTGCATGACTTTTCCAGAATTAGGGGCCAGTGTAGACGTAGCCTGGGGGTTTTCATCTTGGAAAAAAGACAAGTAATGGAGATATAATAGAGGTCTGTAAAATTATGACCGGTATGGAGAAAGTGAATAAAGAAGATTTATTTACTCCTTTCCATAACGTAAGAACTAGGGGTCGCCAAATGAAATTAATAGGCAGCAGGTTTAAAACAAACAAAAGGAAGTACTTCTTCACACAAAGTCCAAGACTATAACAAAAGAAAAAAGGGCTAAATAAATTCGTGGAGGATAGGTCCATTAATGGCTATTCGCCAACATGGATGAGGATGGTGTCCCGAGCCCAGGGGTGGGCAATATCAGGCCCAGAGGCCAAATCTGGCCTGCTTAGCCTTGCTCTCCAGCCCACGCAACTGATTAACAGGGTGTGCATACTTACAGCTGGCAGCGTGTGTTCAGCTGCCTCTGCCCCCACCTTGCTCTGTCCTGTAGCCAAGCTACTCCCAGGATTCTCTTGCTAAATATGCAGAGGGGAAGGGAGAGAGAAGTGCTGAAGTCAAGGTATCTCCCTATCCCTATATCCCATCTCTAAAGAGCAGGGGTCAGAGAAAGGGAGACACACAGCGGAGCTGCTCCAATCTGAAGCATGGATGATAAGTGACTCGGAGGAGTGCCTGTCTTAAGAGGCAGTGCACTGTTTCTAAGATTTCAGTTCCCATTCTCACTGTCTTACATGCACACTTCCTTCCCACACCCCATTTCTGCAGAACTAGGGGAAGAGAGACAACAGAGCAGGACAGCTTTCCCTGTCTAAGGCAGCACATGGCTTCTCTCAGAAACTTACCCAGCAGCAGCCAACACGCACACTGTCTATTACTCTCATACACACCCAGTCTGTGCCACACATGCACAGTCACTGTCATACACACAGTGCCACACACACGCTCCTGTCTCTGTGCCACATACTCTCCCAGTCTCTGTGCCACACACACAATCTGTCACAATCTGTTTTACACACACACACACTCTCTTTCTTGCTCTCTCTCTCTGTCTCTCTGTAGCCTCCAGCCTTACTCCTTCACCCAAGCTACTGCCCCTTCTGGGGAGCCTGGAGCTGCCCAGTGACCTCATAACAAAATTCATAAAGTTCCTCTTCTACTCGCCCCTCGCAAATATTATTGTCCACCCCTTCCCTATGCACCGAAAGCTGGAAATGGGTGATGGGATGGCTCACTTGATGATTACCTGTTCTGCTCTTGCCCTCTGGGGCACCTGACATTGGCCACTGTCAGAAGACAGAATACTGGGCTAGATGGATCTTTGGTCTGACCCAGTATGGCTATTCTTGTGTTCTTATGGTAGAAATGTATGCGTCTCGAGAAGAGATTTTAAAGAGGCAGGAGTGGAGAATTGGTGGGTAGGCTCTAGAACAGTGTTTTGAGCATATGTGGCTAGGGTTGAGTGGATTTTTTTTCTTGGCACATAGCTTATCACTAATAAATGTATTTTCAGTCAAACAAAACAATTTGCAAATTGGTTTAGAAATTTTGCTATTTTAGAGATTTTTTGAGATGTTTTTAAGGATAGAAAACACCCAAAAACTTTAAAAAAAAAGGAAAAATGTTATTTTGGATCAAATTAAATATTTAGTTTGACCTGAACAAAAGTTTCCTTGGATTTTTCTGTGTCCATCAAACCAAAAATATCAATTACTTGCTCAGCTGTATATATCCAATGGTATGGAAGAAGCCATGCAGATGTTTAGATTACAAGAAATTAAATGATAGTCTCCTTTCTGTGACAACATGACACATTATTAGCACAGGGGTTCAGTGTTCTATAGCAGACACTTTTGGGTGAGGGCTCTCATGATTTTGGGTTGCTGCAGAAATAGAATGAAATGCAGGGAATTGGAGCAGTTCTCTCTGTAAGCTGAGAGTGTGGGTGGCCACCCTGGAGAGATTTAAATGCCACCAGGGATTTAAATGCCGGATGCATGTGTTTCCATTGGTGGTGCACATCTGATGTGCTTTGGTGCATATAATAAACATTTATTCTGCACATGGATGGAAAAAATTAGAGGGAACATTGAACTGGAAGTTTTGTAGGAAATTGCCTAATGCTGTTTTTAATATCTGTTTTTCATTAGCATGACTTCCCTTTTATCTATGGAAACATCATCAATGAGAAAAATCCAGGCTGAGTAAGTATATTTTTGCTTTCTCTTTTACTGGATGAAAGAGTAAAATGGCAACAAATTTAAAGTTACTTTTAAGTTCTTACAAATATAAATTTATATTTGTAATTAAAAGGCATTTAAAGGCAAAAAAGCATCCTTTTAAAATTGGTAGTCAGATAATATTGAGGAGAATGGAAAGGAGGAGAATATGAAAGTACAATTGGGTAGGCCAAAAAAAGCTGAAGAGCAAATACCAAAACACAAAAGGTAATAGCAAAAAATGTTTAAGTACATCAGGAGGAGGAAGCCACTAGATGATCAAAATGCTCAAAGATCACTCAGGGAAGATAAGACCATTGCAGAGAAGCTTAATGAATTCCTTGCATTCAGAGAAGCGGATATGAGTGAAAATTCCACACTAGAGACATTCTTTTATGTGACAGATCTGAAGAAATGTTCCAGACTGAAATGTCAGTAGAGGGTGTTTTGGAACATATTGATAAATTAAAGAGTAATAAGTCATCAGGGCTAGATGGTATCAACCCAGAGTTCTGAAGAAACTCCAGTATGAAATTGCTAAGGTACTGACAGTGGTATATAACTTCTTGCTTAAATCAGTCACTGTACCAGATGACTGGAGGATAACTTATGAAACGCCAATTTTTTTTTAAATGCTCCAGAGACGACCCTGATAAGTACAGGCAGTAAGTCTAACTTCAGTACCAAGCAGATAGGTTGAAAGTATAGTAAAGAACAGTATTATGAGACACACAGATGAATATATGTTGGAGCTGGGCTAAAAGAAAATCATGCTACAACAATATATGAGACTTCGCTGAGGTTGCCAGCAATCATGTGGACAAGGGGGATCCAGTTGGTGCAGCATACTTTCAGAAAACCTTTGACAAGTCCCACACAAAGGCTGTTAAACAAAGTAATCAGCCCTACCTTCCTGGTTTAGTAACTGATTAAAAGACAGGAAATAAAGATCAGGAATAAATTGTCAGATTTCATAAAAGGAAGTAAATTACATGGAAAAGGGGGCAATCGGTTAAGTGGCAAAGTTTGCCCATGATACAGAATTACTCAAGGTAGTTAAGACCAAAGCTGCATGTAAAATTACAAAGGGCTCTTACAAGACTGGGTAACAAAATGGCAGATGAAATTCAAAGTTGATAATTGCAAAGTAATGCACCTTGGAAAACATGCCAACTCTATATACAAAATGGTGGGGTCTAAATTAGCTGTTTCCACTTAGCAAAGAGATCTTGCAGGCATCATGCGTGCTTTTCTGAATTCATTTGCTCAGTGTGTAACTATAGTCAAAAATTAAACAGAATGTTAGGAACCCATTAAGAAAGAGATAGATAAGACAGAAAATACCACAGTGCCACTATATAAACCCATGATAAGCCAACATCTTGAACACTGCATATATTTCTGGTTGCCCGTCTCCAAAAAGATAATTTAGAATTAGAAAAGGTACAAAAAAGAGCAAGAAAAATGAGGGCGGCTATGGAGCAGCTTCCATAGAAGGAGAGATTTAAACGATCAGGACCGTTCAGCTTAGAAAAGAGATAATTAAGGGGGATATAATAGAGGGCTATAAAGTCATGAGTGGTATGGAGAAAGTGAATAAGGAAATGTTACTTACCCCATCAAATAAAATAAGAACCACTCAATGAAATTACTAGGTACAGGTTGAGAAACCCAAATCCGGGACTCTGGTCTGGCAACATACATGGTCCAGCAGAGCCACGGATATTGCTGGACCAAAGAGCCCCGAAGGCGGGAGTAGTGCCCTGGTGAGCCCTGGCTAGGCCAGGTGACATCTGGGGAGCCCCCACCCTGTGTAAACAGGGCCGAGCAGTATCCCGGGAGCTCCCACTGCACTGGGGAACCCCTGCTTGCAGTGGAGCTGTTGGCAGCTAGGCGGTCCCAGCCAGGAATCGCAGCAAACCCCTGATGGCAGTGGGGTCAGAGTGACCAGGCAGCCTCTGCCAGGGAACCCTGTAGCAGAAGTGGGGCTGGCAGAGGCAGGCAACTGGAAACCCCATCAGCAGTGGGGCCAGCTCTAGCAGCGGGGCAAAGTGGCCGGGCACCCTGGCTGGGGAATGCCTGGCAGCAGTAGAGCCAGCAGCAGCTGGGTGGCTCTAGCCGGGAATCCCCAGGAACAGCAGGGCTAGCAGTGACCAAGCATCCCCGTTGGGAACCTGGAACTCCGTAGGGCAGCAGGATGGGGAGCTGTGCCAGGATAGTATTAGGGGGGCCAGCAGCAGGGCAGGGAGCCCCAAGGGGAAGAGCCTGGGAAAGGAGCAGCCAGTGGGGGAGCACTGACCTTCCCTGGTCCGGCAAACTCCCTTGTCTGGGATAGCTCAGGTCTCAAGGGTGTCCAACCAGGGAGGTCCAACCAGTAGCAGATTTAAAACTAACAAAAATAAGTATTTCTTCACATAATGCACAGTAAACCTGTAGAATTCATTGCCAGCGGACATTGTGAAGGCCAGACATATAACTGGATCAAAAAAAGAATTATATAAGTTCATAGAGAATAGGTCCCTCAATAGATAGGAGTTAAGATGGTCAGGGATACTAACCCATGCTCCAGGTATCCATAGGCTCTGATTCTATGGAAGCTTTGGGGCTGGAGCACCCAGGAGAAAACAACAGCAGCCCCCATATCACCACTTTCCCTTTCCCCCAGTGCCTCCCATCTGCCAGCAGGCCCCACTGTTCAGCCCTTTCCCCTTTCCCTCCCACTTGCTGCAGTTAGCCATTTTGGGTATGGCTAGACTACAAGTTTTTGTTGGAAAAAGATACGCAAAATGGGCTCCGCATTTTGCATACTGTTTTCCGATTCTTTTGTCAGAAGAGGCTTTTCCAACCTTTGGCCCATCTAGATTGGGCCAAATGTCAGGAAAACACCCTCTTTCGGAAGTCCCTTTCTTACTCATAGAATGAGGAATATGGGGCTTCCAAAAGAGCACGTCTGCTCTTCCGCAAAAAAAAAAGCTGAAGCGCAAACGTGTTCCCTGGATGTGGCAGAGTTTTTTTGTGATACCTCTGGTATACTGAGAAATCCCCTCAGTCTAGCCATACCCTTTGTGGTAGGAAGGAAGGAAGCTGGGGGAAGGGAAGAAGCAAGGATGTGGTGTATTCGGGGAAGAGACAGAACTGGGTGGTAAGGGATGGAGCAGAATGGGAAGAAATGGCATGGTGGTGATGCAGGGTGTGACCTTGAAGGAAAGGGTGTAGTGGGGACAAGACCTAGAGCAGAGCCAGGGGTTAAGCACCTGGAAAGTCAGCACCTGTGCAGGAATCCCTAACACACTGACTGCCAGAAATTGGACCTAAACAGATAATGGGGTCACTAGGTAATTGCCCTATTGTGTTTCATTCCCTCTGAGGCATCTGGCACTAGTCACTATTAGAAGATTATATACTGGCTAGAAAAATGATTGGTTTGAGATATGGGTTGGACTTCCCTGATCCAGCACTCGGGACCTGAGCTGTCCCGGACCAGCGAGTTAGACGGACCGGGGGAGTCAGTGCTAACAGATGTTGCCAGACCAGAGAGTCCTGGATTTAAGAGGGTCACCTGTACACAGAGCTGCCTGCCCCCCTCCTCACTGCTGCCATGTCAGGGCAAGGGGGCAGGCATGACCTGGAGCTCCCTTCAAACACTGGCTCCAGCCTGCCCTTTCTCCACGCTGCTGCCTCTTACACAGATACAGAGGCAGCAGCACAGGCAGGGTGGGGAGTTCTGTGTGTAACTATGAAGGTTAACTAATGAGCTCAAGCTAACCAGTTAACCATGTACACTTTTACACTTTCACATCCCTAGTCTGAACAGAACTGCAAACTTTTGAAGGTTTTCCCAGCCAGATCGATTGGCATCACCACTACTTTAAGGAATGTTTGCCAAAGAGCTTCACAGCATCTCAGTACTCTTCAAGGCATTTGTGATGTTGAACTCCCATAATACAAGCAATTCATTTCAGATATATCACTTGTTTATTGAAAGGAAATTTTACAGCACATTACATCAGTATATTTTTGAGTTGATGCTTGATTAATTCTATGTATTTCTTAATAACAGCTGCTTGCACTTGCCAGTGAACCCTTATCTAAAAAATTTCATAGCATAGGTACTACTAAAACCTTTGCCTGTTAGCACTGAAAGAATGGTGAACGTCCTCATCAGGGTGTCATTTTTTTTCTGTATCTTGCTGCATCTACGATGAAAATCAGTTATTGTTATTATTTTTTACTTGGATTACCATGGTGATTAGGAACTTTGGTCATGGTGCAGGATCAACTGTGCTGGGTGCTAGAGAGTTTCATTCTCTGATTCTCCTGCAATAGCTGAATGTTCAACATTTGGGTTGCAAACACTGCAGAGGAATGTTTCTATCTCGCTAAAGAGCAGTTTTCATTGAAAGTTAAAAAGAAAGGACCAGAATGAGTGAAGTTGGCTCAGAAAAGTGTAAGTCACTTCTACCTGTACCAGCAATGCATTGCCAAAACAGGGAGGTGTTATCTTGAAGTAAGGGAGGCTTTCAATTAAAACACTGCCTTCCCACCAGAGCGTGGCAACCGAAGTTATAGTCATGTTCCCTAGCCCCTGTGGAAGTTGTTGAATCAGACCATTATGCTGTATCATGTTTCCTCCCTCTACCTGAAGAGCACTACCCATTAGTGCTGGTCCCTTCCAGATATCACAGCACAAAGCAGGTTGTGATCTGTGTCAACTCTCCTGCAGTACTGCCACCTCAGGTGTTCTGGACTATTTTATACAAGAACAGGAAGTTAACATAAAGCTTGACAATTTTGCCCTGAAATCCTAAGGTAACATTTCTGTAGATATCATCATAATTTATACAGAGCTTATTTTTGTTCATCCTAAATAAGTAACAGAGGGGTAGCCGTGTTAGTCTGAATCTGCAAAAGTGGTGAGGAGTCCTGTGGCACCTTATAGACTAACTGAAGTGTTGGAGCATAAGCTTTCGTGGGCAAAGACCCACTTCATCAGATGCATACCATGAATCTGACGAAGTGGGTCTTTGCCCACGAAAGCTTATGCTCCAACACTTCAGTTAGTCTATAAGGTGCTACAGAACTCCTCGCCCCTAAATAAGTAACTGCGTCCTACTAGCCACCTCTTTGAAACAAGAAGCTAAGTTGGTGCAAGACCACGGTAATTTCTCTTAGCACAGGGGTGGGCAATAATTTTTGACCAGGGGGGTCACTTCAGAAAATTTTTTAGTGGCCCCAAGCTGCCCCAGAAGGTGCATGGCCTCAGGCAGAAGGAGCAGGGCCAGGACACTTCCCTGCTTCCCCACCCACAGACCCTGATTGGTCTGTGGGTAGGGGAGTCCATGAAGTCTTTGCACCCTGCCCAGAGAGAACCACCAGCTATTCAGAACAGTGGCAGTTCCCTCTAGGTGCCTGTGCCTCTGGTGGTGGGAGGAGACTTTGCGTGCCCCCCCTCACTCCCAGATCAATCAGGGCTTATCTAGACTACACTAAAGTGTCGAAAGAGGATATGCAAATTCCGTGGGAATTTGCATATCTTCTTCTGATTTCACTTTTGAAAGCAGCAAACCCCCTTCCCCTTGTCGAAAAGCTGCGTAAACCTCCTTTTTTGAGGAAGAGAGGCTTTTCGACGGGGGGGGGAGGGGGGGGCCGAAAAAGCCGCGTCTAAACAGTACTTTCACTAAAGCTCTGCTTTTGAAAGTGAAATCAGAAGAAGATATGCAAATTCCCACTGAATTTGCATATCCTCTTTCAACACTTTAGTGTAGTCTAAATAAACCCTCAAGGCTTGGTTATGGGGAGAGCATGCAAAGTCGTCCCTGGCCTGCAAGTCTGTCCCTGAGCAGCAGCTGGCAGTTAATTCTAAGTGCTGAGTTCCTTGCAGGGCGGGAGGAGACTTCACATGCTCCCTTTGTCACCAAGCCAATCAGTGCCTGGATATGAGAGGAGCACGCAAAGTTTCCTCCTGCCCTGCCCCCATCCTGCAATATCTCATGCTCCTTGCAGGGCAGGGCAGGCAGAGACTTTGCATACTTTCCCTCATCCCCAGGCCTTGTTTGGCCTTTGGATGGGGGGAGTGGCAGGATCAACCCACTTGGTGGGCCAGATCCAGCTTGCAGAAGAACTTTTGCACACCCCTGCCTTAGCAGGTAGAGCTTCTTGCTCTGTTGTGTGACAGAGGTGTATACCTTTAACCATTCATACTGGATTTTCTGTTCTCTGTGCAGAGAAGAAGAGCTTCAGTATTTGAGTTTCATTGAAGATGTAACAGATGAAATTCTGAAGCTTGGATTATTTTCCAACAGGTTAGATATCTTTGTTTTAAAGTGTGTTTGGACTGTGCTCAGAACAGACTGGATTTTGTAAACAGTGTGGAATGCAGTATCTCTGACCCTGGTGACATTTTTTTAAAATTACATTTTAGCATTTAATCTCCTATTAAATACACCTCCAAAACATAGCTTTCCTTTGTTTTCGTTCTCTCTCCTTTCCTTTTGTTCCTGTTGTAGATCTCTTTTTATACTCCTCCATCTCTTGTCACTCTTCCTCTATCAGAGATAAATGGAAGGGACCATTATAATCAACTGGCTGAACTCCTATATACCACAAAGCAGGGGTGGAGAACCTAAGACCCAGGGAGTCCCTGACTTGTTTGGATCCTGCCCCATTGGGGAGCACACCCTGATACTCCAAGTCTTCGTTCCCCCTGCCATTCCTTGAAGCCCACAAAATCTATTAGCCTGGTCCTCCAAGGCTCTGGAGTGTGAGGGGAATGTGTAGAATGTCTTTCTCTTTCTCAGTTGGGGGCTGCCTCAGGGAGGGTTTCTCACTTGAGTGCAGCCCCCAACTGATTCTACCATATCCCTTGGAAAGCTGTTCCAATGGTTATTCACCCTTACCATTAAATTCATTCCCTGCACTGAATTCTCTTCCTTCTGTCTAATTTTTTCTCATCCCCAATAACTGGCCCTTCCTCTTACTCCATTTCCTTTTTTTCCAATCCTTTCTTTCTCCCATTCTCACTAATTCTTTTTTCTTTCTGTTCTCTGTCTGCTTCTTCATCTCCCCCTCACCCTTTCTCATAATCCAGTTCCCTTCATGCACATTCTCCATCCTTCTATTCCACTTTCTCCTTGCCTCCCCCTCCCCCACTTCAAATCAAATGGAGCAGAGGGGCACAGCCCATACCAGTCATGGTACTGACAGAGGTGCCCTAGCAGCATCTCCTTCCTGGCTCTTTCCTTGCATTTTCTTCTCCCTAGTCTCTGACGAAAAGACCAGAGATTCTTTCTCTGGGTATGTCTACACTGCCCTCCTAGTTCGAACTAGGAGGGTAATGTAGGCATACCGCACTTGCAAATGAAGCCCGGGATTGGAATTCCCCGGGCTTCATTTCCATAAGCGGGGAGCCGCTATTTTTAAAACCCCACTGGTTCGAACCCCGTGCAGCGCAGCTACGCGGGGCACGAACTAGGTAGTTCGAACTAGGCCTCCTAGTTCGAACTACCGTTACTCCTCGTGAAATGAGGAGTAACGGTAGTTCGAACTAGGAGGCCTAGTTCGAACTACCTAGTTCGTGCCCCGTGTAGCTGCGCTGCACGGGGTTCGAACCAGCGGGGTTTTAAAAATGGCGGCTCCCCGCTTATGCAAATGAAGCCCGGGAAATTCAAATCCCGGGCTTCATTTGCAATTGAGGTATGCCTACGTTCCCCCGCTAGTTCGAACTAGCGGGGTAGTGTAGACATACCCTCAGTGTCATCCCTGTAGGCCATGAGGACTTTTGGGGCCTGAGAGATCTTCTCTCACTTACAATTTTCCCTCTAATCTTTTTCATCCATTTGTAGAATAATTTTTGTTATGTGCACTGAGTCATACATGGATGCGCACCACCAGTAGAAACATATGCTGCTGGCTGTGGGCACTGTGGGCTCTCTGCTAATAAGCTGGGCAGCATTTGAATCTCTGATGGGTGACTGCCCAAATGCTCAGCTTACAGGGAACACTGCTCCCTTGCCATAGTGAGTGATTGAAGCTGGGTTTTGTCTCTTCCCCTACCCCATTCCCGGGAGAGGGGGGTCTGCTGGGAATAACTGATTATACTTGTATATCTTGCACATCAGCAGCCACGATGGAGAAGAGTTATGGGATTGTGAATGCTTCAACCTGTGGCAACCACTCACTCTGCCTGAGCTTAAACTGGCTAACGGAGAGCAAGGGTACCTCAGTCAGCCCTATGACATGGCCTGGCCCACAGAGCAAATGTCTAGTAGCATGTAGACACAGTGTGGGCCTCTTTGTGACATAGTATAATGAAAGCAATCTGATTATTTCTCCTTTGTATATGCCTGAAGACTCTGGAGCTTGGGTTCTTTACTCATCTAGGATTGTTTGGGACACAGTATCTTTCTCCTCCAAATAATGACATGCCTGAGCCTTATTTATGTATCTATTTTTAGGGTTTTGGAGAGATTGTTTGAGCGTCATGTAGAGCAAAACAAGCATCGTTTGAATGAGGTATGTCCTTTTTCCCAGTGGAGTCTGTAAATGTTCTCAGTCTAAGTGACTTCAGAGAGACTTTAAAAGTGCTGCAGATGCAGTAACTCTCAGTATAGAACCACCTTTTGTCAGCAGTACAGGTAGGAAATGTGACTTGTCCAGATCACCCACATCATGAAAGCTTTCACATACTAGGTAGTCATTTCAGCAACTTGAGGATTGTTTGATGCAAGGTAATTGTAAGAATAATAAAGTTACTTCATTTTATGCATCCTGTATTTCCTTAAAAATAACTACATAGAATATGCTAATTTGGAAAAAAAATTAATACAGTCAGCTATTTAGACTGAGATTTGTTACAGATCTGGTCTTAATACTGCAAGCAGCTGGGCTGTGGGTTGTAAGTGATTAAGAACCTTATTTCTTCCCTTAAATTCTAGAATAAAATGCGCCACCTACTGGATCTCCTTAAAGTTGACCTGGGCTGCAACACATCGAAATCTGAGAGAGTCAATGGAGGCACAGAAGTGATTGACCCATTTGATCCAGAAAGATTTGAGACCTTGGACCAGCTCCAATTTTCCTGCAAAAATTGGAAACAAAATAAGACTACAAAAAGTGAAGAATTCCTTAAAGCCATGGATTTATTAACAAGTGAAACCAAACTAAAATCCCCCTTACACAATGAAACTTCAAATCAGATGCATGACAAGGATATCTTTTCAAAAGATCTAACTGAAGTGGTAAGTGTTGGAACAGATCCTTATTCTTCAGTGAAGTCTGAAGAAGCCCCTGATATTTCATACACATTTGAGCCAACACTGAACTCAACCACATGTGACAGTGACTTTGAATCAAATAAGGAACTTGATGATCTTGAGGAAAACTTTGCAGAGGCCCTTCAAATTTCCTCTATATAGAGTAGTAGACAAGACCTAGCTGCGGAACAGAGCAGTAGATGTCTGCGAAGAGCTGACATTTGTTAAATAAATGCTAGTGAATAGTTCATTTGACCTTTCCCTTTCTTCTTTGGACGCTGCTATAACCTCTCCAGCAGAAGTACAAGTATTATAAATCAGGCTTTAATTGATCCAAGTACTAATATACACCCCTCATGCCTCAAATGCCATTGGTAAAAAAAAGAGTTTATATATTTCATCTAAATGTATAATTTGGAAGTAACTGCTGAAAGTGCTAAAATTAGAGGTATATATTTTTAGAATTATTTGAAATGTAATAATAAGTTATATTATTTATTCTTTGTATTTATAATAAATGAGAGCAATAACTGCAATGTTTAAAGTAAAGTTGTGATACAATACACTTTTGCCACCAAAAACTAATATCACAGCTTAAGCAGTTACTGAACATTTCAGTATCACTTTACAGGAAGAATTCAAGTTTGAGCACCATAAAAAAACCAAGACAGAATAATCTATGTACATATATAGTGACAATCTGAACATTGAGCATTTCTCTGTTCAGTGACTGGTCACTAGGTGATGATCAGTCCTCCTGTATTCATCACCAGATATTTTCTACCCTTTCTCTAACTACTGTAGAAAGCAATGAGACTTCTTTCATAACAGCATCTCTGAGTTTTCACTTAACTCCCTGCCGTCTTGCTTGGCTGAGAAAAGATATCTTACTTAACTCTCTGCCGTCTTGCTTGGCTGAGAAAAGATATCTTTTGCTAACTGCTGCAATTGCCTGGGTTTCTTGGTACATTGTTTTATGTTCATGACAGTTTATATTTTAAGAGGGTAGAGATTTTGCAAGTTTTCAAACTGCACAACATTAAAATGTGCAGCCCGATCCCCTGCACTGAGGAAACCCTTGATTTAAAATGCATATATTTTTGTTTTAATAAATTGATAAGAGTTAGGCCTTCATTCAAGACCAAGAATGTTAATCTAAAACATCAGACATCATGTAGAAAACGTAAGAAGGTAAGTTTTCATTTAATTCTTTATTTATTGTAGTACATATGAAATGTATTGCACTGACAAGTTGAGAGACTGAAGTTCTTTGTTTATCCATAGTACAGTTAGAGCCTGAACAATGGCTCAGCAAACTTCATGCTATAGCTCAGGAGTGGACAATAATTTTTGATGGGGGGAGCACCCCAAGAAATTGGCAAGTAGACAAATGCCACATTCTTCCATGATATTAATGGAGGAAGTGTGGTATCTGGGATGAAGGGTGGTGCAGAAAGGAGCTTGGGGTAGGGATTGGGGTGTAGGAGCGGGTGTGGGTCTGGGAGGGAGTTTGGGTGAAGGAGGTGGTTGTGGCCTGGGGCACGGTATGAGTGTAAGAGAGGATTTTGACCTGATGTGTAGAAGGGCACACAGGGGGTTGGGTTGTGACATAGGGTATGGCATTGGAGTGCAAGATCTGGTTGGGAATATGGGTGCAGGAGTGGGGGTGCAGAGGGTTTAGGATGTGATCTGGAACAGGAGGGGGGCAGAGGGTTGGTGGGATGGAGAGGGTAGGATCCCAGGTGCAGGCTCTGCGGCAGTCACAACCTCTACCATTAAGATTATAAAGGCATGTCTACACTATGCAGAAGATCAAAGTTGCCACGGTTGATCTTTTAGGGTTCAGTTTAGCAGGTCTAGTATAGACTCACTAGATTAAAATCAAAAGACACCGGTACTTCTGCTGCTCACAAGAAGTAAGGGAAAACAAACCTTCCTAGTGTAGACAGCCTCAGTCAGATCCTTCCTGTGCCTGATGTGGAGCATGGCTCTGAACCCACGTCTCTGGAGACGGCTGTGAGAGAGCCTGGAGTGTGGCTCTCTTAATTTCTCCCATTGAAGCTGTTCTACTTTGCATAAATAGCATAGGGGGGACTTGAACATGGGTCTCCAGCATGCCAGGAGCAGTTCCTAATTACCAAGCTAGCTCTAGTTATACCTATGCTTACTCAGCCCTACCTCCTACCATGACCATTTAAATGAGTGATAAAAAGTCAAACAAATCCTTGCCCCACGTTAGGCAGAGTGGAGAATTGGAGTTGGGGCTCCCACGTCCAGGGTGAGCAACATAACCATTGGGCTAGATGTTATGAGAAAGAGGTTCTGCCTCAGTTTTTTGGAAGAAAGGATTGACCTGGCACTGGAACACCAGGAGAGAGTTCACAGCTGTGAATCCTGCACGGGGCTTGCCCCGTAAGTCCCTTTGAGCAGCAGGGCTTAGGACTCAATCCCTTTCCTCAGCATTCCCTACTGGCTACTCGCTGCTGAGAGCTGGCTTTTCTGGATCCCATTCTTAGGCATCTTACTCTCCTGGGTGCCCAACTTGAGCCTGTGGTTTCCATCAGATGGCAGGGAGCCTGAGCACAGCGTCACAATATTTACTATTTAAGACCTTTTATGGAGCTAGCCCTCAGGCTGTCTACCCGAAGCCGTTCTCTTGCCCACTCTCAGGCCAGAGTGGGGTGAGAATGCTGAAGGAGTAGAACACCCTGCCCCTATGGAGTAGGTATGACAGTGACCTCGCTTACTGTTTACAAAGTTGTGCACATAGCCTCCAGTAGAGTCCTCTGCTGGAAAGATGGAGAATGTGACATGAGCCCTTGAGAATGGCAATAAGAGCTAGAATAATTGAGTAGAGAGGTATCTGAGACGCTGGAAAGATGGAGAGTGTGACGTGAGCCCTTGAGAATGGCAATAAGGGCTAGAATAATTGAGTAGAGAGGTATCTGAGACAAACAAAACAATCCCCAGCTAGGCAACCCACTGAGCTATGTGAACACAAACTCTCAGAGGGCAGCATGAGACTGATCCATTACACACGATCCTGTGCAGTCTTCCCAGGAATTTAACACAATAAAGAATGCCGGGCTGCCCTTCCAGTGTCTGTGCTACTACACATTTCAGCACTCACAGTAGATCGCGGTGGGCAAACCTTTTGGCCTGAGGGCCTCAATGGGTATGAAAATTGTGTGGAGGACTGGGAGAGGTTGTGTCAGTCTCTATTTCATGTCCAACTGCCCCAGCCCCTGGCCCCCCCAGAACCTCTGACCCCTATCTAGTCACCCCTGCTCCCCGCCCATTAACTGCACCACCCAGAGCATTGAGGCTGGAGGTGCAGCAACAGGCACTGGGGCACTGATGGTTTAGAAGATGGGGAACAGAAGAGGAGGGGGTCAGGGACTAGCCACTTCTGCTCACCCAGACGCTGGGCTGACTTCTCCCAGCAAGGCTGTCCCGACCCCACTTCCCAGTGGGAGCTTGGAGGCTGAACTGAAGCATCTGACAGGCAGCATGTGTCCTATGGACTGCAGTTTGCTTTCCTCTGCTGTCGGTAGAAGCAAATTGGTTCCAGAAGATCAATCACACAGCACAGGATTAATCCAACTATACTGTCCTCTACATATGCATACATATGAGAAATTAAAGTCATCGTAGTAAGGTATCAAGTCATCCTGTCACCAACAGAGCACATTCACAGAGCCAGCTAACTCTTCAGCAAGGATCAAGTTTAAAGACAACATCTGGCTTACGCTTTATTCGCTTTTTATAGGTCAGAAATATAGGTGCTACAGATAATAAAGGGCTATATACTGGCTATTTGGCTTCCGTGAGGCAGGGTGCATATATCTCAGTAGCCAATGACACGTTGTAGCAGGGCATGCCCGGTCTGCTTCAGACCCTGCAGCTGCCTCAGTTTCCCCATATTCCCCAGGACCTCTCCCTTTTGAGGCATTAACATCAAGTTTAGAACCCAACCGCCCTTCCTAGCCAGTGCACACCCTTGGTACAGTGTTCTTACTCCTCCAGCCCTAAGTGTTTCATCTTAGATGGTTTCTGCTGCCTGCATGTCTATCAGGCCTTCTGGCATGTAACTCAGATTAAACTTCCTCACTGGCTTTTTCCAGGAAAAAGGCATATATTCCATGAAGGGTCTCCTCCACTTACCTTAGGCTGCCCTCATACCTCCTATTGTCTTAGTTACAATCTCCCTGTCATGTAGCTCTTGTATTTATTCCCTCCAACTGGGGAAATGGGCTAAGCCTGGTGAAGGTGAGTCTGAGCCCCAATTCCCTACTCACCCTGGGACACACTGACAGCAAAAAGCCAACTGCAGAACAAGCAAACCAGGTGTTTTATGATGTATGAATGGGACAACCTAACCCCAAAGCTGTCCGCTGATACAGATCAGTAATGGGCTTCCTCTGCAGCAAGGCCAACTCAGGTTAGATGTTAGGAAAACTCCGAAACACTAAGGATGGTTAAACTCTAGAATAACTTCCAGGGGGAGTTGCAGACCCCTCCTCATTGGAGGTTTTTAAGAACAAGTTGGACAAGCAGCTGTCAGGGAGGGTCTGAGTTTATGTGGTCCTGCCTCAGTGCAGGGGGCTGGACTTGATGATTTCTTGAGGTCCCTTCCAGCCTCACTTTGCTGTCATTCCATACTCAGTATAATCAGAATCACTTCTAGCTGAATGTTCACCAATTCCATTTAGCACATTTTCTACAGTTTCTCTGCAGGCTAACAGAGAATGTAACTTACCCTCACTGCTGTTTACCTTCTAATATTTGAGGGCTAACAGTATGCTGTAGAACAAGTAAAATAATCTCTGTTCATGAAAATAGGCTTATATGGAACATTCATTTTTCCAGCTTGATGGCACAAATACACTTGGAGAGCCAGAGTCATCTTTGGCAGAACTCCTAACTTGCTGACACTAGGGATGAATTTCTTTTAGACAGTGACCACACTTCAGTGATACATAAATATTAAATAACCCACACACTCACCATATTTTCTGTTTTATGCAGCTTGTTTCCACAATTCACCAAATCATTACATCTGATACCAGTTGTATGGATTTGTATACCCCATATGCCTGATTCAGCTATGGAAGATCTAGCTCCCTCTGCACTCTGATTCAAATCAACGATTGGGAAGAAGACAAACACGTCATTTACAATCAACATGTTTTTATTTTAATGCTAAAAGGCATATACAGCTGCACTTGGCTGCTTTTTCCTATTACAT